TCCTTCTTGCTTGCTGTTGGATACATAACAATATTTGAACTATGAAAATGCTCACTCTTGACTGTCAATAGCTTATTTATAATCATATTATCTGTGAAAAATACAGTAAATCAAAAAATAATGGGAATTTGTGTTTAAAATTAGGTGAAGTCAATATCTGAGATTTAGTGGTCATGTTACCCATCCCATCATCTCATGAACAGAGAGGGAAAACAGATCCTCTGCCTATAAAATCCCCAAAGCCCACCTTCCTTTTCTATTAAAAAAAAATAAGAAGAAGAAGAAGAAAAGTTAACCTACACTTTTTTCTCCAAGAAGCTGGAAGACTTTCTGAAATCATATTAATAATAGGCAATCCAACTAAGAAAACAGTCGGGTAGAAACTCCATAGAATCAAAAAATTCTTGTTTGTGGGAAGCAGCATCCTAAAACCTTTTCAATGACAGAGATTAAGAAAAACCATGTGGCCTGTGGTTGAACTCTTGGTAGATCTGGGATCCTCCTCTACTACCCACCCTCGTCTAAATACACAAAGGCTCAGTAATGACTGAGTGCCCCACCCTTGTAGGTTCTTAGGTTAGGCCATTAACGTATTGTTCATTTTCTTCATAATAAGGAAGTATAACAGCACTAATATCTTTACTCTAGAACATGCTAAGTAATAGATAGAAAAGGGCTATAAAGTTTAATTATAAAACAATCTTGGGTAAATTATTTATCCTGAGTTGGTCACCTCAGTTTCTTCTTTGTGTCTCTAAATAGTCCCTATGGGGTTCATTTTCCTTCCCTCACCCCAACACACACCCCTTTTACTTCTCAGTTGAGGAAATGTGGAATCAAACATCAATCAGCCCTGTTGCCATCAATAAACAATAATTTAAAAAAAAAAGAAGAAGGAAGAAGAAAGTTCAAACAACACAGCTAAGGTCGAAGACATACACATTCACAGGCTGGGGCAGGGCCTTGAGATCTCAAGTTTACACAGTAGTTCAGTCTTCTGATACTGCAACCCAAAGCCCCAAAGGAGACCATTACCTTGTGCTTGGTCATTGCACCGACAATGAGGGGACAGACCATTCCAGAAAGGGTCCCCACTCCATTTGAGATCCCCATGAGAATGCTGGCATAGCGGGGGGCAATGTCCAGATGGTTGACGTTAAAACCTACAGTGAAGCCAAAACCTCAAAATCAGAGTTAAGAACATCTGGGGAACTACACGGCTTTTCCCAACTCTCATCAATCTATTTGGTTCCCTGTACCATATGACTAATGGACACCTCTCCGGAGACGGCTGGGTTGAGGATTGTCGGGCTGTGTCTGCACCTAGCAGGAAAATGTGCTGTGATTGATCAGCAGTGGCTCCCATGGGTTCTCTGTGGGGAGAATTATGACACCTGTGCTCCTAGGTGGAACTCCAAAATAACAGTGTTTTGGGCAATACTGAAAAAATCGAAAGGATCACATTTACTCAGAGTAAACTATCGCACTGATTGTTTACAGCGTGATTAGAACCAAACCTGGCCTCATAATACCCTCACTCCCGAAAGGCCACCAGAGGTAAGCCCGTCTTAGTGGCCACATGGCACAAGGGAAAGGTCCCTTTCTGATAACAAATATTTGCACAAACATTGGCAGAATCCTCTGTAACTTACCAAAGACTTTCACATACATACTTGATTTGGAGTCTGTAAATCTGGATTCGAATCTTATTTCCACCATTTAAGTAAGTTTTAGGCCTTTGTTTTCTTCTAATAGGGGGGTAAAATGACTACTTAACTCCTAAAGATGCTGTGAGACGAGCCTGGGCAAATACATATGCAAGAGCCCTTGGCAAGCAGCTAACTCTGCAAACCAGCACGGCTACCACCATCAGGACATCACCCACTGCGGCTGCTGGGCTAGGTCTCCCTCTCTTTGAGGTCTTCTATCAGAAGATAATGCTGCTGGGAGTGGTAAGATACTAAATTGCCAATACCTCACTATTTATCAAGAGAGAAGAATGAATGGGTGGCTCAGTTGGTTAAGCGGTCCCGGGGTCCTGGGATCAAGCCCCACATCGGGCTCCTGCTCAGTGAGGAGCCTGCTTCTCCCTCTGCCTCTGCCATTCCCCCTGCTGGTGCCCTCTCTCTCAAATAAATAAATAAAATCTTAACCAAAAAAAAAAAGAAAAAAGAATGAAGAATGAAGGGGGAGGAGCAAATGCAGGGGAAGGGACTAGGCTCCAAAAGAAGAGGAGGCCACCGGCCCTGGGACCCAACTCTACTAGTGTTGCCCAGGGGAGCATTCTAGAGTCAGACAGACCTGCCTCTGGCAGCTTTTTTTTTTTTTTAAGATTTTATTTGTTTATTTGAGAGAGAGAGACACAGCAAGAGAAGGAACACAAGCAGAGGGAGTGGGAGAGGGAGAAGCAGGCTCCCCGTGGAGCAGGGAGGCGGATGCGGGGCTCGATTCCAGGACCCTGGGATCATGACCTGAGCTGAAGGTAGACGTCCAACAACTGAGCCCCCCAGGTGCCTCCAATTGAGATGCAAACATGGACAAAGGATTTAAACCTTCTGAACCTCTCTGCTTCTTCTTCATCTATAAGCTGGCATAATCATTCTTATAAAATTATTGTGAGAATTAAGTTAAATAATGTATGTTAAGAACATGGTACATAGAAGTGAAAACCAACATGAATGTTCTTTTTTTTTTTAAAGATTTTATTTATTTATTTGAGAGAGAGAGACTGAGAGAGAGAGAGCACATGAGAGGGGGGAGGGTCAGAGGGAGAAGCAGACTCCCTGCTGAGCAGGGAGCCCGATGTGGGACTCGATCCTGGGACTCCAGGATCATGACCTGAGCCGAAGGCAGTCGCTTAACCAACTGAGCCACCCAGGCGCCCCCAACATGAATGTTCTTTATGGCTGGTTATCCATCTGTCTTGTTTACCACTATCTTCCCTGAACTGGCAAAGTGTCTGGTACATAGTACGCACTTGATAAATTATTGTTTAATTACACATTTAAGCCACTGAAATTACAGCAGGGGATTGTAGGTTTTGTTTATTCATGTTTTTGTTTTCCTTTGCCTTGCTTTTTAATTCTCTATTCTGTGCAAAGAACCTGAAAATAGGATTTTTTTTAAAAAATCTTTTTTTTCCTAATCTGGCACATTGGCTGTTTTTCCCTACCTCCGATTCAGGGAGAATTTTGAGAAAACCTTTTTTGTAATAAATATACCTTCTCTTTCAGATCACAGTGGCAGACAATCAGAACATAAAACAGCTGCAAGATTAATTAATCTTACTGTTGATTTGAAAGCGATAAACACTTTATTAGAAAAGAACCCAGAGATAAGAAGCAATTAGTATGATCATTGAGCATTATATTCCGATACAAAGCCCAGGCATCTGCGTTCAGCTAAAGATAATGTGAGAAAAGCCATTTAGATTTCTAGCTGCACAATCCTGGTGTTTAGGAGAAAAAAATCATTGAGAAACTGAGATACTGATAGCTTTTTTTGTAGTGGATATTAAAAAAAAATGCACACGAGGTAGGAGAGTCTGTCTTCTCTACATAGGACATTTCTCAAAGTAAGCATCACGCATCCCCAAATCTTCCTAATCTCACCTGTCTTGGTTCTCTTATTGATAATCAGTTCCTAAATGGTACCAGTCTTCCCTGGCATCCCTATGAACTTATAAAGTGGGTAGACAGCAGATCCTGAGCAATCATTGCCCCCAGGGCTCTTGTCCCTCCCACAGTGTCTCTGTTGGATCATGTAAACCTTTTTTCCAATCCCAGGAAATTTACATGGGCAAGTCACCTCACTAAACCCTAGTGTCCTCACTGGTAAAATGGATATAGCAATATCCTTCTCACTGGGTTGTCAGGAGGATTAAATGAGATTATGTCCAAAAGTCACTAGCATTGAGTAAGTGCTAAAAAAAAAAAAAAAAGGCAGGTGCTGTGTTTTGGTATAGTGGGTTTCTCTCCTTCTGATCATGGTATAATTGGCAATCCAGGAACAATGTGAGCCTAAATATTTCATTATCTCTGGAGACAGATATGAATCCTTTTTGCCTCACAGAGCTATCAGAGGAAGGTGCTTCACATCTGGGGGAAACAAGTCATGATTGCTTTTTCTTTGCTACTCAAAGTATAGAACATAGATCAGCAGCATCAGCAGCACTGGGGAGCTTGTTGGAAATGCTGAATCTCGGGCTGAATCAGAATCTGTATTTGGCAAGATCCTGGGGTGATTTGTACAAGCATCAAAGTTTGAGAAGCCCTAGGCTAAAAGTGAATAATAACTGAACAACACAATTCACAATAGTGAATACTTACTAATTTTGTTGTGCATCTGGCTCTGGGCTAAGGGTTTCAAATGCTTTATTTCTACTAGAATGTAACCTTTATGAGGACACCATCTGATTACTTTTTTCCGCTGTAACATCCCTCCTGCTGCAAACAGCACCTGGCTCATAGGAAATGTGAGTGAATGCATGATTTATCTCAAGTGCATGGCTATCTCCCAACAACCCTGTGAGGTTGCCATTATACCTCTCCAATTGCTAGGTGAGGAAACCAGGGCTTGAGAATTTAAATAGCTTAGCATTTTTTATTTTATAAATAGCAAATAGTAAAGAGAGGCCTCGAAATCAGGTCTATGCACCTCCAAACCCAAGTTGTTAGCTGCATGCTACTTTTAAAATAAACTTTCCCCCCGCCCCAATTTCACTGTCCAACAGCTCTATTTATTTTGAAAAGATCAAGGCTTTATTTTAGGGTGGTTGAAAAAACTATCAGAGACTCCATATTTTTCTGTTCTGGGATATTCTTACTCTGATCTTTCAGGCAGCCTAGAACAGTAGAAAGAGCACTGGCTTGGAGCCAGCCAGAACTGCATTTTACTTCTTCCTTTGCCACCAACTGTATGACAGTAGAAAAATATCTGATTGTTCTGAGTTTTAGGTACCTCATCCGTGAACTAGTGATATTACCTACTTGCTTCACAGTGGTGTGACATACACACAGTCCATGTAAACTGTCCAGTGGGTGATCACTGTCAGGGTGTCAGTCTGGTTTAAAGGTAGGAGAACAACTAAATTTTACTTTCTCGTCCAGTTGTGCATAGGGAGCTTCGGAAGCCCAAAGACATGATGGGACAGCGCACTGGCCTTTCCCACACGGTAAGGAGACTGGTCTCTGCTCTCGTGAAACGGGGAGACTGATGGCGCCTTGGGTAGCGTGAGAATTCCACAGAGGGCTTTGAACAGTCCCAGGCGGAGTCTGTGCTTGGTCAAGGTTAGCTCTCACTGGCATCATTATTATTCTTACTCCCTGCTCTCGCCTGTTGGGAAAGTCACTTCCCCTCTCTGGACCTGCATTTCCTTCTTGAGAAAATGAAAGCCATGGAGAAGACAAAATCTAAAGAATCTTTCCACTCTAAAAAAAAACTTCCGATTTTATAACATGATGTCAAATGACTACATTACCAGACTTTTGAGCTAATATTAGCCATTCTCTAGTTGGAGGTGAGGATCGAAAACGTCACAAGAGCCTCTGTGAGGTGGGGTGACCTGGTCCTGAGTATGAAAGGGCCACTTCACCGGGACACATGTTTGTGCCTCTGCCCATGGCTCAGGGGGGTTATATGTACTTTGTGTCTTTTTTCCAAGCAGGGAAGTAGGGACAATTCCAGCTTGACTGGGCTCCTAAGCCTAGTCCTCAAAGTCATTCCCACATGATGAAACTCTCTAGCCAGGAGCCTGTTCCTTAGGAATGGCCTAGCTACTAAAGGAAAGTGATACAATATTCCCTTTCCCTTCCTTCCTCCCAAGACTCGCTGAATCTGTAGAAAAGATTTGGAAAACCAAAGGACACCTCACCTGAAATAGCAAAGCCGCTAAATCCTACAGCAAGCACCAGAAAGGAGATGGCCACCCCTTTGGTATGGGAAAAGCCAACCACCAGGAGTAAGGTTGCCTCCATGCCAAAACCTGCAAATGGAAACAGCAGGAAAAAAATATATTGTTTTCAGGTCCGTCAGCTCAATTCATGTATTTATCAAATAAGAATCTATTCCTATTTCCACAGACCTAAGTTTTTAGTATCTACATTCTGGCCCATTGCTTACAGTATTACCTGGGTGCTTCATGACTACATGACTATGTTAACATTACCCAGGTGTTCTGTGAACCTTCCACTGTACACCCTGGTGCACTCTGAATACTGAATGGTTCCAGCAGGTTCCAATGATGTCCCTAGGATGGGGAATGCTTATTATCAGTTGCTTCATGGGTAGTTGCCCCTGCCATTTCTAGATACTAAAACTCTCTTATATACTGTCAATGATCCCCCTTTGATTATATAAGTGATGGCCTCTCACAGAAAAAAAAAAAAATAACAACACTCTAATATATATTGCCAGAAATGACCAGAAAGCTATAGTGAATATCTGAAACAAAAAGCAGCACCTCACTTCTTGTAAAGCATCAGACAAAATTCTTCCCTTTCAGAAGTTCGCCAAGCTCTCAGGCCACCTCATAAAAGCCATGAGATATTTGCACAGAAGTACAGCAGGACAAAAGTACTTTCTGTTCCTTTCATTCTGAATAAGTGAATCCAGTACAATAAAAAAGGATGAGGAAATTATGAAGATGTTCCTTCTCACAAAACACACACACATACACACACACGAGTTCAGTCAACAGTAGACAGAAAGATGATCTAAGTGCCATTTCCAGGTATATGAAGTGCCCTGGGAGATGAAAGACAATGATGCTTCATTCTGGAGACTGTCTGCTGATTCCAGACATCACCCGACTGTTCTGTAGTTACCTCAAAAACTACATACTCAATCAAATCTCTGTTCCTCTATTTTTTACTTCTAAATAAAGAATACCACCACCATATCACCTCCACCATGCTCTCTCTTCCTCTCTAAATTAATCTGTCCACCTGTGTTTAGAACCCAGACTTTAGAGTCACACAAGCCGGGGTTCAGATTCCACAACAAATCACGAATTACGTGACCCTGGACAAGTCACTCCACCCCTTAGATGCCTCATACCCCAAAATGGGGCTAATAATACAACCTTGTAGGATGCTGGAAGATTAAATGAAATTGGGTATATAAGGCATCAAATCACATGAGCACAGCTCAAAGGTCAACCAAAAGTGGGGCACCTGGCGGGCTCAGTCAGTGGAGCATGCAACTCTTGATCTTGGGGTTGTGAGTTCGAGCCCCACACTGAGTGTAGAGATTACGTAAAAAAAAAAAATAAAATCTTAAAAAGAAAAAAGCCAACAAAAGTCAAACATACAAATCTCAGAACCACCTTGGATAATTCTCACTCTTCCTCAGCTTTCACAGACAAATCTTTGGGTGTCAAATCTCACCTCTGCTTTCTCCTCTGCCACTGTCTTGTCCTGGTACATTACCCCTCACCTGGACCAAACTCCTTTTGGTGTCCCCTTCTCTTCCTCCTCTGACCCATTCTCCACATCATTCTCTCTCTAAACCACAAACCTAGTCCATTGCCCCTTTGCTTAAAACTTTCGTCAAGGGTTCCACATTATTGGTATAGCACACATAATGAGCCTTTCCTGCTGTTCCATCTGCCAGCCCTCACTTCCCTGCTCCTAGGCCATATAAAGCCCTCTGTTGTAGTCAGGCAGATCCAGGAGCCATTTCCTACTCCCAACACTTGTTACATGCCCCTAACGTATTTTCAAAGGCTCTTCCTTTGCTCAGGATACTCTTCTCCTGCCACTTATATCTCTTTTTCTGGAGAGACCTTACTATCCTTTAAAGTCCAATTCAAACATTGCCTCTTCTAGGAAGCGTCCCTGACAGTCCTGCCCTTCCCCCCACCAGTGAAGCTGACATCTCTTTCTTCTTACTCGTTTTACAGAACTTTTCAACATCGCTTTGCAATTTTTCATTTGTGTTTCTGTCTCCCCCACAAAGATACCGAGTATATAGCACAGAGCCTGGCTAGCATGCAGTGGGCATTCAAAAAATAATATTTAATGAATTGATGCAAAGTAAAGAAAATGGGACTCAAAATCAAGATAGTTTGGTTGAAATACAAGCTAAAACACTTTTTGTAGACCGGTAAATTGCTTACCTTCTGAGCTCATTTTCTGAAAACTATCAAAGAAACAGGGCAAGCATCGGTAATTGTTTTAGATGTACATTAAAAGAGATGATGGGGCACCTGGGTGGCTCAGTGGGTTAAGCTTCCAGCTCTTGATTTCAGCTCACGTCATGATCTCAGGCGTGGAGCCTGCTTAAGATTCTCTCTCTCCCTCTGCCTCAGCTCCTCCCCCTGCTTTCACACCCTCTAAATAAATAAATAAATAAATAAATAAATAAATAAATAAATAATAAAATCTTTTAAAAAAAATCTTTAAAAGAGAATCACATGAAATGGAAAAAGCGGTTTTTCTCAACTGTGGGCTTTATACCACTGCTACTTATTATCAATTTTGTTTCAACATTTTAAATTAAATATAAGGGAAAATTGCTAGTGTTTCATATACTAACTATATGTGCTTTAGAAATGCCCTGTCTTAAATAGCAAGGCATCTGGCTGTAAAACGAGTAAGAAGAAAGAGATGTCAGCTTCACTGGTGGGGGGAAGGGCAGGATTGTTGGGGACACTTCCTTAACACTCCTGACAAAAGTTGTACCAAAAAATTAATTCCTCCGAGCAATCAGAATGGAGACATTTTGTGAAGAATAAAACTTACGAATGATACATTGGTTCATCTGTAAGGGAAGAAAAATGATCTTTGCCAAATAGTAGATTTCCAAAGGGAGAAAAAAAAAAACATTTAAGAGCTTAAATGGTTCCTAGTGAAAAAATGCTAGAGATAGGACTATTATGTTTCAGGAGCTTGAGGATAAAACTTGAACTTCAGAAGTGGTCAAGAGACCTTGAAAGTGAACCTATCAGGGCTGACAAGAGAAACAGAACTAGGACTTAAAGGTCAGAGAAAAATGTTCATTTCATATTAGGCAATCTAAAGTTCACACAGGCAACCGATTCAGCCAGACTAGAATTTTTTACTTCAGTCACACTTTACATGTGCTATAGAGGGAAGTACAAGGATTTGACATCTGTTTTTGAGGATCTTGGAAACATGCCCTGATTGAGAAAGAACTAGAACAGAGCTTCATGTCTTAGGTAATCTGTTTGCTTTAAATGATTCTAGCAGCAAACATCCCTTGCCTATGGAAAGAAAAGAAGGTGACAGACTCTAGGAAATGTGTGCTCCTTCTCAGATCAGAAATGTCCTCTATATTTCCTCTTAGAGAACATGAAACCAACTAAATTCTCTAGAAGATCATGCAAGTGCTTTGTCATGTCCAAATCAATCTGGATTCTTCAGTGATGGCCCAAAACTCTCCATGTATTTATCTCTAGCATCTTTGTATATAAGCAAAATAGGACAACCATTTTTTAAAACATACAATGTAGAACTCACTGGTCCTGCTATTTCAACATATAAAATGACATGAAAAGACATGTGAACAGGTTTGGGTTGGTTTTTGTTGTTGCTGTTTTGTTTGTTTTTTAAAGATGGGAGAGAGGCTAGGGAGATTCTATGTTTTCATTCTAGTTTCTGGAACAAAAAAAAAGATTTATTCTCAACAGTCACTCTGTTGCACTTTAAAATCTTTGAGAGTCCTCACCACCACCACCCAACACCGACACTATTGATTATGGAGGAACAATGGCTGAAGTAACTGCAGCAAAATTAAACATAAACAAGACAGTCCTATACGATATGTTCAGAGTCTTCAAGGCATGTGGCTTGAGAAGCGGTTGTGCAAGTGGGGTTGAAATCCAGAATTTTCTTTCAAGTTCCAGGTTAAGAGTTTGCATATTTTTGGCCATGGGAAATACATTTGAATAGCAGGTAGTTACTGAATGCCTCCTTAGAAAAACTTCTGTTTTGTCAGTGTCTTAAACATAGGACAGGAAAAAGGCATTAACATATATTGAGAACCTTCTATAGGTTGGACTCATGATAGGTGACTTTGTACCTTGTCCCATTTAACATTCATAACAATCATTGGAAGTAAATACTATTATTCAGATTTTAAAGAAGGAAGTTAAGCTCAGATAATTTAGAAACCATCCCACTCTCTGTACCTCCATTGATACCACTTTAGTTCAAGACACCATCTTCTCTTGACAGAGTAACTGAAATAGCCTCCTAGCTGGTCTCCCTTCTTTCACTCTTTTATGTTCTATGTTCTATTCTTCAGATTTGAAAGCATAAATCAAATCACATCACTTTCTCTGCTTTAAACCCTCTATTTGCTTCCCAGGGCATCTCAGATAAAATCCAAGCTCTATGCGTATCTACAAAGCCTCCTAATATCTGGCCCCAGTTGAGCATTCTGGTCCCATCTCCTATTACTCTCCATCTCACTCCTTAAGCTCCAGCCATTCCGACTTTCCTTCCTTCTGGTCTCTGACATGCCACATTCATGCCTGCCTCAGGGCCATTGCTCATGCTATTCCTTCTGCCTAAAACACTTTCCTGCAAGAGCTATAATAAGGTAGTATATGATAAGTTACCACCCAAGTGTATGCATAGGAAGGAGCAGTCACTGGAGGTTGATGTCGACTTCACAGGAGGGAAGATGAACCCATGTGAAAGGACATGTGGTGAGGACTAGGGTGAGAGGTGAAGGTGCGCAGAGGTCACAGTAAAGAGCAAGGGAGTGAGCAAAGTCAGAGATGGAAAAAGATATCCAGGGCCTGGTGTAGATGCGGCCATTCAGCTGGGGCAGAATGTGATAATCAGAGGAGGGGAATTTGGCTCCTGTATTAGTTTCTGATTGCTTCTGTAACAAATTATCACAAATTTAGTGGCTTAAAACAATACAAACTTACTATCATACAGTGCTGGAGGTCAGAAGTCCAAAATGGGTCCTAGAGAGCTAACATCAGGATGCTAGCAGAGCTGTGTTCCTTCCGGAGGCTCTAGGAAAACTCCATTCTTGCTTTTTCCAGCTCTAGAGCCTGTCTGCATTCCCTGGCTTGTGGCTGTATCACTCTGACATTTGCTTCTACCATCGTATCTCCTTCTCTGACTCTGACCCTCCTGCCCCCTCTTAGAAGGAACCTTGTGATTACATTGGGTCCACCCAGATAACCCAAGATAATCTCCCCATCCCAAGATCCTTAATTTAATCACATCTATAAAGTCCCTTTTGTCATGTAGAGAAACATAAGCACACATTCTGGACATTAGAACTTGAACATTTTCAAGCAGGCATCAATCTGTCTACCTCAGATACCATAAACCCAGTACCCCAGAGCTTCACCTCTCACCTACCAGAGAGCAGGTCCACACCTGCCAACCTCCTGTAAAAAAGTTCATGTCAATTAGAGCCAAACATCTCTGCCTGGGTCCAGTAGTCAAACTGCTGGGAGACCTGATGCCAACTCCCAAACTCCCTGGTCAGACTTTATACCTGAAATACTGTGGGATCAGATCATGTCTGCTCTTGTGCAACCTCCATATAATCTTCACTTCTAAATGGACCTGACCCGTCTAATCTAGAGTGACAGTCCACCCCTTCCCTTCTTTCCAATGTAATATCTATTGCAACTTTTCACCCATACATGGCGCTATTCTCTGCCTCCTGCCTGCCCACCCTGCCCACCGCCCCCACCCAGTCCCCAGGAGGAGTTCGCAGCAGTGACTGGGACATTGGCAATGAGCTCAGACAGACCTGGGATCTTGCACAGCATCTGCCACTTGAGCAAGTCACTTCATTTTACCCCAGTTTCCTCACTGCAAACCACAGTGTGGTTATAAGGATTAAATAAGATAATGTGTATAAAAGATGTCGCTTAGTGTCTCACACAGAAAGCATCCAATAAATGCTAATTTAAAACACAAAAACAAAAAGAGACAAGGAAAAAGTGAAAGGTTTAAAAAAGGTGAGCAGTCATAAACATGGCAGGGTTCACGATTACTTTTACCTACCTCTTTTGGAAAATCACCCAGCTTCCTTGTCTTTGCAAAATCAAAACATAAACAGGAACTAAATACAGAAAAGAGGATGAGATGTGTGTGTGTGTGTGTGTGTGTGTGTGTGTGTGTGTACCCCATACACAAACATAGGCTAAGAGGAAAGAAGACTATTCAGAGGAAATATTTTTCTTGTGTTTCTTACCAAAACCTGGATGTGTAGAAAGGGAAAGGGATTAGGGAATAAACTACATAAGCAAAGGATTATGTGTGCGAAAGGATTATGTGTGTGGGAGAATGTACGGGAAGGATAAACGATAAAGATACGTCACAGGAATTCGGTTCACTTTGGCTTAAGAGTAGATGAAAGAAGCATTTCTGCAGGTGGGGGTGTGTACCGATTTACCAACTAAGTTGTCCTGTCTCAGGCTGCACAAATATGGGCTGGAGGACCATTGGCAGGGATGTGATGGACACTCAAGTATCTACCAGAGGATGGACTTAGGGGCCTTTAAGATCCTTTTTTTTTTTTTAAGATTTATTTATTTATTTGAGAGAGAGGGTGCAAGTGAGGTTGGGGGGGGAGGGACAGAGGGAGAGAAAGAGGGAGAGAAGCAGACTCCCCACTGACGTGGAGCCCAACATGGGGCTTGATCCCAAGACCCTGAGATCATGACCTGAGCCAAAATCAACAGGCAGCCTCCCAACAGACTGAGCCACCTAGGTGCCCTAAGATCCTTTCTAATGAGTAGACATAACCTCCAAAATATGCTCTGCAGCTCAGTTTCATCTCATTCTGTAAAGGCTGCTTAAGACACCTACGAAATCCATAGTACCTCCACAATTCATGATTTTTCTGACAGCCGTTGTTGTTAAAATTTTTCTGCTTCTTAAATAATCAGCCAATTGTCCTCCAATAGGCACAATGATGGTCATAACCATGTGTGGGACTGCTGACAGGAGACCCACCTGGAATGAAAAGAAACAATGAGCTATTTTTAGCTGCTTTGGAGAGATGCACTTCCCTAATTCCTTGCCTTCCCCCCCACCACCAAGTTTAATTATCTAATTACCTTGGACCCAGATGGGCCTGAATTTTGTAATAAATAATGAACAAGTGGATGATTTTAAGTATAGACCTGTCTCGGCCACCAGATTGGAAGCTCCCTGAGGGCAGACACGACTCGTGTTCATCACGGATGCCCAGCACCTGCCATAGCGCCCAGCACATGCTAGTCAAACACTTGGTGCAGAGTGAGCATTCATTGATGGCAACCACTGTGACTCGAGTACACTAGCTTCTCCAAGGTCACTTCAGACAGTGCCTGGAGCTGTGCGGGCATCGACCTCTACCAGGCCGCTCTTCTTCCCCTAGTAGAAAGGAGGTTACATGTTTCATGATGACGGTTTATGTTTCACCATCTACATCTTTCCTCCCTGAAACACAGACAACCTAAGGACAATGGCTGGAGATACTGAAAGAGGTTCTTTGTAAACCCCACAAGGCAACGGTTGTTATTGCTGTAACTACCATTACAGAGAGAGGGGTAGTCTGCAAAATGAGCTTTAAGGCTCTTACTGCTACTCACTGAGTAATTAATAGGGGGGAAAAAACCACAAAAACCTCTTACCTTCCAATCTTTTTATCCTTACTAATATGCAGTCCTTGAATTTAGCTTCAAAACCACTTTGAGATCGAATAGAACATAAATCTTTAAAAGCAGCTTAATACAGCTCTGAACCTTATGAAGAAGAAATTAAATAGCTATGTATACTGTGCCCAAAGTGTAGAACTTGTCTGACCTCTAGGGTATTAGGTGTCATAAAACTGTTAGAAATTCTGATCAGCAATTTAATTATTTTATCACACAAAGATTTTCTCAGTAGAAGCGAGAGATTTGAAGTTCAAGAACATCTGAAGCATCTCTGTGTTTACCTTACTTATTGCAAATCCAAAGACCTCTTCGAAGTAAGCAGGCTGACTTATTAACAGCAAATAAAAAGTCCAGCTTCTGCAAAAATTTGCCACAATGATTGCATAAACCGGCAATGATGTGAAAAACCTTTTCCACGGTGTGTTAAATTTCTAGAGAGTAAAAATACCATGAGACTTCTAGTGACTATATTGACATATTATTTTTCTTAAGAGGACAACACGATTACGAAGAGGAATAGAAAAGAGACAAGTCTTTGCATCTATACTTACACTGAGGCTAATCACGTTGGCTCCTTCTCCTATACTTGTCTCTATGTAAGTCCTCTCCTCACTGGATATTGTCGGGTGAGCAGCTGGGCACTCATAGGCCTGCAATAGCCAAAACGTGTACCAAATAATCCCAAACATGCCTGCAGTAAAAAACAAAAAGCTTAATGATATGGTTTCCTTGTCTTCCATCTCTAAATATTCCAATTCTCAAAGTATTCCCAGATGGCACGATGTTCATCTAGGAGAAAGTATTTTGTTGCTTTTCCTGCTGCTGCTGTTGTTGTTGTTGTTGTTGTTAACTGGTATTTAAAGAAAGATAATATTGTTCTCATTAAGAAACTCAACTTTAATATAAGCATTAAAAGAATCCTAAGCAGACAAGTATTCCATTTATATGATAAACTTGTTTTAATAATCTCTATCTTCATATAGTAAATTCTTAGCCAACCCCGTTATACAGTAAAATACCATCTCTGTGAGTCTTCCATGGGAACTCATGAAGTCAAATTACTCACCATAAATGTAAAAGACAGAGGCCCATCCAATGTACTGTACCAAGACCCCAGCCAGAGGCATGGCTATCACTGCCCCCGCATAGGAACCTGGAATAAGAAAACACGGAGGAAACTTGACTACTGCCACACGGGCCTCTTCGGCCCTTCCAGAGTTCCTGTTGTGGAGATGCAGATGAATCCAACTGAGCAAGAGCCAGATGCCTCCGTGCGGAGGGACAAACTCCCCGTGTGCCTTAAAATAGGGCTTTGGGGAGAGAAACGGCACTGGACGCCCTTTAACTTTATCCAGGTACCATGGAGGGATGAGACAAAGAATACTCAGGCACAGCAATTTTGAATTACATGAAAGAATCGGACAAAAAGATGAGAAAAAAAAAATCTAAGAGAAATTTGAAAAATTCAACCAGGTACAATATTAGGGATTCTAAATAAGATAGCAAGCAAAGGAACAAACGGATCTGCCTTTCAGAGCTCACAGTCCAGAAGAATTATCACCTCAGTCTTTAAATGAGGGACTTCAAACTATTAAGAAAATCATACTTTCTACAGCCTTGATTTCTTTTAAAAAATCAGGAAACAGTTCTATTCCAGAATGGCAGAATGATTTTTTTTAAAAAATCAGGAAACAGTTCTATTCCAGGATGGCAGAATGAACAGGAAGGCTCCTCTCTTCACCTACCTCCAGAATGGGCCCATTTCTAAGTTTATTTCTTTGTAAAAACACTTAACCTTGTAAATACTCACCTATATGTTGCTATATCTTGCCTAGACAAGATCACGAAGGCTGGAGGCCATGGGTCTCCACCATCCCCTACAGCTCCATGATAATCTGCTGTAGAAACACAGCCCTAAAAACTCCCAATCAGTTTTACCTGAATCAAAAACATTTCTCCCTGAAATTCCCTCTGGGCTGTGAACAGAGATGTTTTGAGAATTAAATAAACTGTGTGTGTGAAGATGTTTTGTAAGCTGTAATTAGTGCCGCACAAACCCCAACTTATCACTTGACTCTAATGTACAAAATGACAATGCATTTTTTTTTCAGCCCAGACCTTCTTCAAACCAGTAAGAGAAGCATTCCAAGGCATATTGTTTAGAAAGAGCTGCAGGCCTGACTCTGCTGTGGGTGTGGAGAGGGTGGACTTCCCTGGGCCAAATTTCCTAGAAGTGAGGGGTAGGGGTAGGGGAATGCCCAGGACAGGGAGGGTCCAGGGATAACTCCCCACCTAAGATGCATTGGGTGCTTTTTGTGTGCCCACTACTATGTGGAGGATTCCAGACTCATGGTTTTAGTTAACCCTTCTTTCAACCTCTTGGCATCGGTACCAATATCATCTCCATTTTATAGTGGAAACCAAGGCTGGGGGAGGGGAGATAAATTGCCTGAGGTCGCACAGCTGTGAGTGACAGGAACCAGGTCTATAGGAACCCAGAGCCTTTACCCATAACTATTTAGTAATTTGGTCCTACGTCCTCCACTCCAAAACTCCCATTAATTCTTCATAGTAGGAAGCATTCTCTCACTGAGGAAATTTTACACTTGAAACTGTCCTTCCCTGTCTAGTAGACAAACTCTTCCTCATCCTTCCAGACATGGCTGAGTGTAATCTCCTGTCACACCCACAGCCCCTGAGCATACCTCAGTGGGGCGTGCCACCCAGACTGCCCTGGGGGAGCTCACTGCACTTTGATCCCTCTGTGGGTAGACAGTGGAGGAGACAGGAGCCCTCCAAGGATTGTTGAATGGCGTGAGGAGGGGGAGTAGCCATTAGGAGTGGGCAGGTCCCCAGATCTGTCCTCACTAGCTGGGAAAACTTATTTGACTGGGTATCTCCTAAAGTCCCTGCCAACTCCAGTATTTTTTGTGTAAGAGCGGATTAACCTCAAATTTGGGTTTCCTTCTTTTTTTTTTTTTTTAAAGATTTTATTTATTTATTTGAGAGAGAGAGAATGAGAGAGAGCACATGAGAGGGG